CGCTCTTAGGTTGGAGGCCAGCGCTCTTAAGTTGGAGGCCATCGCTCTTAGGTTCGAGGCCATCGCTCTTAGGTTGGGACACCCTGAGACACGTGTTGGAGATTCTTTGGGACCTTTTGGCCTCCTAGGCGCTGAAGGCCGTCAACGAAAGCGCTGAGACCTAGATGCGCCGAAGGCAGGCGCATTGGAGGTTGGGGATTGTTGGGTCAGATACGTATGCACCTGGGCCAACAAGGAGTGAACCGAATGAAAGTCGTGAATGTGAGTTTTGGCCACATCCATGATCAATGAGTGACCTTTTTTGCTTGCTCATCAGGAGGAGAGCGGGCATAAGGTGACTTGTGAGGAGTGAAGCGCGATTTCCGCTGAACCATTTTCCAACAGCATTTCGATTCCAGATCTTCTACAGGCTTGTGCCAGCATGACAAGCGCGCTTCCGGCCGTTTGGCTTTCTATTCTACAGTCACTTGTTTGCCTAGCTCGTAGACAAAGACTCTAGGCACAGAGTTTCACCCCGAATACTTTCGCTCAGCAGTGGCAAAGCATTTCCTTGCTGGGTCACCTTTTCAATCATCACAAGATTGCCAGTCAGCCAACTAGTGGACCGCCTCTTAGTGACTTAGTGAACTACTAAAGCGATCCTCATCCTGTGACAGGGCATCGGTCCATGAAACAACCTCTGGCTCTCTGCAGTTGCTAGCAGACAGTTGCGTTTGCCAACTGTCTCGCACCATCTCAGACCTGCGATGGGTGTTCGACACTCGTGACCAGCGACTTCCATGATTTCCCTCGCCAAGTGAAGGAACATGTTTGTAGTCTATTTGGAGCTTTCATTCGTTCACCTCTTGAATAGTCACTGGAGTAAAGCGCCTCAAGTCTAAGGTTGAGATTGATACCCTCCCGCTTGCTGTTCTGCCGGTCACTCCCACAGCCCCGGGGCGGTTCCCGAGACCCGGGACAACAGTCTCGAGTGGCCAGTTTTGGAGAGAAGGTTATGTGCACTTGGTATGGGCTATGGCGTGAGGAAGAGTTCTCCGGCACCCCACGATGAGCAGTGTGAAGATGACAACACAGAAAACATGTGTCACTTGGCAAGGGGCAACTCACCGAAGTGAATTCAGCCAGCTTTATGCCGCCTCAACTGCTGCACACCCCGGCTGTGCGCACAGCAGCCTCACCGGAGTGATAGAAGATGCGGGGCAGAAGAAGAGGTGGCAGACAGAGAAAACACGCAACAGATGTGCAAAAGATTGCAAAAGCGTCGGCCGTTGCCAGCATCCAGGCAGGCCTCCAACCATCCAGGCAGGCCTCCTCAATTGTCACTACGATCCATCAGATCAATTCATCACCACCTGAGGAAACCAACTTGGGAGGGGCGAGGAAAAAGCTGTGGTCGGGACACAGGCACACGGCAACATTATAGGTCAACCACCATTGGTACTGTATACGGCGTGTTGTTTTCCATTTGTTCTATGCTTACATTGTGTACAGTGACCGGAACAGGTGGGCGCAAGCAAGCCATGACACCATTCCCGCACGCGTCAGCGTAATTAATTATGTTTCCTCTTTGTGGCTTGGAGCCTGTCTTTTGCCAGCTCACCGTTGTTCTCGTGGGTGGAGCTATGGCGCACATCGAGGCGGGGAGCGGGTTTTTGCCCTGCGTCCTGCGGGCAGAGGGGGAACCACCCCAGAAAATGGCAGGTGAAAACTTGTTACTTTAGGGTGGCCCCATCCTGCGCCGGCAGGTAGTCGCCTTTGACAGCTGAAGCTGGCCGAGAGGGGCGGCAGACTGGAGGATAGCTTGGAATGGATAGCCCAAGAAGCCAAGCTGAGGACGGTGGTTTGACCTCTGAAACCTCCAGATCAAATTGCAAAGGAGTGGTCATTTGCCTGGTTGTTCACTAGTTTGGAGACATCCCTGTGTCATCACGTCGGCAGCCTACCAACACTCATGGAAGGCGGGAGCAAGTTAACGGCTGGTTGGTAGGAACTTGCAAGTCACTCGACACGAAACTGTTCAGTTGTGTTTTTCGATATTGTGTTACATCTTGGAACTCACAATCGATCGATTCTTCGCCTTTGCCATTTTGGCGAAAGAGAGCGATCGCTCGCCAGGTTTAAAAGGAGTGATCGCGAAGGTTTTTCTCTAGGGCCTGGGCGAGCGTTCGCAATGTCGTCTGGTGGTTCTGGATCTCGAGTTCCTGCTGCGTTCGAAAAGCAGATGTCTATGGCCTCAGCTCGATGGGATGATACAGCCTCTTCAGGCTCATGGGCTCAAGTCGAGCGTGAAGCTCCTCAAGCAGAGACCTCTGGAGGGATGGATCCAGTGCCTGAGGAGACCCCTGCTCAGCCGGCTGCTCAGCCGCAGGCGTTTACGCCAGCAAAGGCTCCTCCTCCTCCGCCCCCAAGCTCAACAGGGGCAGCAGCAGCATCATCGGCTTCTTCAGCAGCACCAGTTCTACAGGCGGCTCAAGTGTTGGTTGATCATGCCAACGAGACCCCGGCATCTCGCAAGTTGAGACGCCAGCAGGAGCAAGCAGCTCGACGTGGCAAACGAGCTTTTCGCTGGGGCAACATCGCACCCCAGAATTTAGCTCATAACCCGCTGAACAGCAAGCTCCCCGAGCACCTTTCGCAAGTTGGAGCTCAGGAAGGTGAGCGCTCGGTGCTGATCGTTGACAACCGTGACAATCGGATCCAGTCACCTTTTCAGAACTGGCTACTGGATGAGGTATTGACCAATGCACTGAGCTACTTGAACGTCAAGTCCGATCGGCATCTTGTGAGGTCGCCATCCAGTGGCTATCACTTCAACCTGTTCATGGTGAAGACTCTGGACAGCTGCAAGGTGATCATCTGCGGATCCGCCACTTGCTACACGCATGTCCCTTGTGCCAAATGGGACAGTCTGACGGGAGAGGTGCTCTCGCACACGGCTTTTCAGCCTTTCAGGTGGCCTCCAATGACCGAGAACAGTTCGAGCTGGGTCGACGTCAAGATCAAATTGGAAGGCCATCTGCTTGTTCATTTGGAATTGAGGGGCTATCGCTCAGATGAGGATCTCTCGATCCAATTGTGGCACATCTCTGATGCCATCCACTCGATCTTGTCCGAGACGGTGTTCATCCCGAGTGTGGTCATCACAGTCTTCCAGGGGTGGAGAGTGGTGGCGATCAGCTGGGAGGTAGGCGGTCGCCTGTACGCTTGCTCCGAGGGTGGCATCGTTGTGGCATTAGATTATCCGCTGTGCCACTTTGAAGTTCGCTTTGTCGCGACTGCATCGCCAGACGCGTTCGGCGCTGATGCAGATAGACTCGAGCTGAGATTTCTTTCTGCTGGAGACCGCCTGAACATGGCAGCCAGCTCGGCTATGGTGCCTCCAACATGGCTGGCCATCAGCAGGATCTCTGGACCGCTCTTGATTCGCAACGCCAGATGGTGTCGCGAGCATGGAGCCAGAGTCGAATGCCCTGACCAAGCTCTTCAGCTAGCTCAGCTCGCAGCAATCCATGCCAATTGGACCTCGAAGATTGAAGCCTCGACCGAGGAGGAGACGGGACCACGGATTTCTGCCATTTCGGTCGAGTCCAACCCCGCGAACATCCATCTGGTCAGTGAGAGTCCTTTGTTCAAAAAGGAGAAGGTCATGGTAGGTGCAGAAGCTCTAGCCTTGCAGAGCCACGACCCCTTGGATGAGATCGTTGCGGGGGTCGTTCCACCGATCGTTGATGGACCAGCTATTCAGCCAGCCTCTCGTGCACCAAAATTGGCTCCAGCGCTGATAGGTCCAGCAGCGGTCGACGTGGTCACGGCAGTGCCGGTCAGCAGCGCGAGGCCGTCAGTGACAGCACCAGGGCAATCGCCTGCACCGAGCTCGTGGGCTGGGGGAGCATTGGCGCCCTCTCGGCGCACCTTGGAGCAAAGGCGTGCAGAGCCGATGGATTACTCAGCTCTGACCCCAAGTGCTTTTGTTCAGATGGCGCGCGGCTCGTCGGCTTTTGATCGTGATCCTTGGTCTGAACCGAGTGTGGTGATCAATGAGATCGTTGCTGACGTGCCCGGTGGTCGGGCTCAGCCCCGCTCGTTCGGCCCCCCTCGGCCTGAACAGTTCGAAGATGTCTGATCAGGTGAGGCGGTCAGATTTTGAAATTAAAGTGGAACTGGCGTGTCGGAGTTCCCACGCCCTCAAATACGATCGTGTGAAAAACTCAAGCTCGCTGATTTTGTTTTGCACTTAACTTGAACAGGTTTGCGTTGAGCTCCTTTAGGCCTTGCTGTTCAGCCTTGCATGTGACATCGGATCACGTTGATCGACCTTTTTCACATTCGTGCCGATGCGATCGCATGCAAGGCAAGATTCTCAGAAGGGCCGGTTGTGGGAGCTCAGGGGACCAGCTCGCCAGAGTCAGTGTTGGCACTTGTTCAGCTTTTTCAAGAGCTTCAAGGGGCCAATCGCTCGTGTGCTTGCGGAGGTTCCCTAGAGCATGTTCAGACATGAGTGTGTTCACTCCTTTTGACATGTTCATGTCTCTGGAGGTTTGAGGTCTGAGGTGTCTCGTTCGCTCGAACTTCGATGCTCGTTCATGCATGTTCGGAGTGTGGCGAGCGGTCCAACCAGACCTTACTCCAGGATTCCTGATGGGTTTTTCACCTTGTTTTTCATTTTCATAGTCTGGCTCGAGAGTGTTTGTTCGAACATGTCCAACCCGGACCGATGGATCTCTCGCATCCTCGACCTTCCAGTGTTCGACAGCCAGTTCGCTCAGGTGGTCAAAAACACCCCCCTCAGTAGCCTGGCTTTCGTCGTGGCGCTGGGAGCGAGTTCGAGCACAGAGTTCGTCGAGCGAGTGTTGGGGCTGGCGCGATCGTTGGATGGGGGAGTCGCCCAGGTCTTCGAGGGTCGTGAACTGATGCTCGAACAATTTTGGACGTTAGCTATCGCTGTGGAGAAATCGTATTTCGAATCTACGGCTGTTCAGCTAGGCTTTGGCCAATGTGAGACAGTGCCGACGCCAAGTCCTGACCCGACAGCCCCGCTGAGAAAGCGGGCAGCGAACGCAAGCCTGTCCAACAAATCTTTAGCCCCACCGAAGAAGTCGAAAGGTGGGTCAAAGGATCCCTCAGCAGCATCTTCGACTTCCACACCGTTGTTCGATAAAGAACGGTCAGAGAAGAAGAAGTGGGCCGCTCGGCTGGAGGAGATTGGGTTGAGGGCAGGCGAACACGCGAAGCTGTTCATGGAGAGCCATTTAGGACTTCACTTGTCTGCAGGTGAGAAAACCCAGCTCAGAAACCTCGTGCTCGTGTCAGGAGCTCATCGAACGATGGCAGGACACATCAAGACGTACGAGAGGTTGGAACGCTGGTTCAGCGCCGTGGACGTCCCTCTCTATCCACTGTCGATCGACAAGTTGTTGAAGTATGCATTGTTCCTGAACGATCGTGAATGCGGACCATCTGTACTGCCGACCTTTCGTGCTGCCGTGAAATGGGTGTGCGCAAGGTTAGCCATCGACGAACCCCAGTTCGAGGACCATCGCTTTTTAGCTCTTCAGGCATCGGTGTTGTCTGCAAGGGCCAAGACACTCAAAGAAGCGGTTCCCCTCCCGATCGAAGTCGTTGGTGTGCTCGAGCAGGCAGTTGTGTCGGACGATCGTCCTAAGGTGACAAGGATTTTCATTTGGTGGATCCTATGCATGGTGTTTGCTTCGTTACGTTTTGACGATGCCGTGCATGTTCGACCATCTGAGCTGATCATGCAAGAGGAAGGCTTGTTTGGAGTCGCGTGGCAGACGAAAGTCGAGCGCAAACGGGTCGGTACCAGGTTCGTAGTGCCGAAGATCGGCTTCGTTGCAAGTGAGTGGCTCGAAGTTGGTTGGGACCTCTTTCGAGATTCGTTGAGAGGGGAACGTGACTACTGGATCCCGGACATGGCCACAGACTCGGAGTTCAAGAATGAGCCTCCTCAGTTCGCAAGAGTTCTACAGTGGTTCAAGTACCTTTGTAGGCATGTTGTCGATCGTGCTCACCATCTCGGGAAGCCTGTTCAGGTTGAATGTGCCTTGAAGGTCAACAAGCTCACAATGCACTCCTGTCGTGTTACCTTGCTCGATGCAGCGGTTCACGCTGGACGCACAACGGAAGAGATTGGCCTGCAAGCCAACTGGAAGGATCCAGGGCCATTGGTCCTGAAATATACCAGGAACCGTTCGGCAGTCCCTGCATTGATGGTGAAGCAGCTCGTCAAGGACTTGGTGCAAGCTCAGCACCCAGTAGTGGAAGATCAAGATACGTTGCTCATGGACGCACCCGACGGCGAGCTTAGTGCAGTGGAATACTTCATCAAGAAACCGAGCGCAGGAAGCTCGTACGAGTATAAGTTTCATTGCACCGCACGGGGCAATGAGGAGTTCACTGCATGCAACAAGTTCGCTTTGACGGATTGCTCTTCCGTGGGCGATGTTCTCCCGGACCCATCGGTGTTGTGCAAAGCATGCGCTCGTGCAAGGCCGGAGGTCGCTTCTTTTCACAGCTCGGCGCCGGCAGCTCCCTAATTCGGCCCGCCTTGCCTGTTTATCGTTCGGTCGGAGTCGTGTCGAGGGTCTCGTTCTCGAGGGCCTTAACCACTCTCGCTCCGAGGTGTTCTGGGCTCAAAGAAGGGCGGCCGGTCGGCGTGACGCGCGAGACATGGTCGATCGTACCACATATGATGCAGCAAAGCTGCCCGAGCTCGCACTAAGGCAGATTTTCGGTAGGCAGAGGCTCCCTCCGGGTTTGTGTCGCCTGGTGGCGGATAAGAGTCTCCTCACCGTTGAAGCGTTCGCAATGTTGGG